CACCACGATAATCGATATCTCGCCGTACAAATTCAACAACCCTAACGGCACCGGCAAAAAGGATTGGGTACACGTGGTAAAGTATCTAGAATGCATCTCGTAAACAATTATATTAAATAGCATAATGGAATCGCGAAAGAAGTTAAATCAACAGCTTGTTATATTGGAAGAAGTTAAATCAACATGTGATGGATGAATTAATATATTTTATAATTAAGGATAAAATTACAACGTTGGTTCAAGAATTCGGCGATCTAGATATCAAGATTTGAAAAAAGCAATGCCGCAAGAAAAAAATTTTTATTAGGAAACTATTTTTGAACTATTTTTATTAGAAAACTATTTTTGCATGTATATCGTCTGTATTTTCGAGAAAAAAAAAGGAGGGAGTCACTATATATATTTCATACATTTTATACATCATTGTGTTTCTCTTTCTCTCAGGCTCCCTGTCCCGATGTGTACCGTGGAAAATATCGTGCCATCGATTACGTGGACGAAGATCTCGGTGTTAAATACGCCGAGGATGTAAAGCAAATCTGCGACGATATCAAAGCCAAAGGACGCGGGGTTTGCGCTTACATCGCGGAAAGTCTCATATCAGTCGGTGGTCAGATTTTACCGCCACAGAATTACTTCCGAAACGCATATAAGTAAGGAGCCATTTAATATATATTTTTTTTTTTTTATGAACACACACGCACATTTACAGTCTTGGAGCAAAAAATATGGCACTGAGAATAAAAGAAATTACTGATTTTACAGGCACGTACGTGAAGCGGGAGGTGTCTGTATCGCGGATGAGGTCCAAGTCGGTTTCGGGAGAGTCGGCACTCACATGTGGGCGTTTCAATTATACGGCGAGGACATTGTTCCAGACATAGTCACGTTGGGCAAGCCCATGGGTAATGGTCATCCCGTTGCGGCTGTCATTACTACGCCTGAAATCGCGCGCAGCTTCCGCGACACTGGAATTGAATACTTCAACACGGTTAGTCCGTAAAAATAAAAAAATATCGATGTCCGTTAGTCAAAATATGTTTGAGAAAAAATAAGTTTTTTTATACTAACAGTACACTCGTTCATTTTAGTACGGTGGCAATCCCGTATCCTGCGCGATGGCGAACGCGGTGATGGAGGTCATAGAACGCGAGAACCTTCAGGAGAACGCCTTGCATGTAGGCAACCATTTAATCGCGGAATTGGAGAAATTGGCGAAGCGACGAAAGATTATCGGCGATGTACGCGGTGCTGGATTATTCGTAGGCATTGAATTAGTCCGCGACAGAATTAAGAGGATACCGGCGACTGCGGAGGCGAAACACGTTGTATCCAGGATGAAGGAGAAAAAGATCCTTGTCAGCAGTGACGGACCTGATAACAATGTTCTGAAATTGAAGCCGCCAATGGTCTTCTCTATTGAGAATGTCAACCATTTCGTATCTGTTCTCGATGAAGTACTCGAAGAAGTCGATATCGATTTCGGCGAGGTGATTTGCATTTTATATATTTACATAAAAATATATCAACAATTATAAATATTTTTATTAAGGCAACATGTGTCTTTTATCATAATACAAAATTTTTATTTAAAGTAAAATAAATTTTTTAAATTGAATATGTGTACGCAATTTCCAACTCACTTAATAATTGTTTCAGGAGCCGGAAACTACTACAACTATTATCAAAGCAACGATCTCCTCCATAGAAGTCGATACAAACACCGCAGTGAACAGCGGAAATTCACTACTTGTTCGTGCTAATTAATAATATAATCTGCAAATATTGCAAATACAAAATTTTTAGTAATTTTATATGTATAAAAAGTATTATTATTTTTAAGATAATTAAGATAAATGTTATTGTGCTTATCATACATACACACATATAGTATATATATATAACTTCATCAAAAACATATATATAAATAACATTTAGAATTAGTTTATGAAAAGAAGACAATATACTCTTTTTTTCTATTTAAGAGATCTTATAATATATATAATATATATAAATAAATATAATTTTATATGAACAAAGTTATTTATTGATTTTATTCCTCTCTAAAATAAAATTCAATTTAACTTGTCATTAATATAATAAATGTTAACGTGTACACGGTGTCTTTAAAATATTTCATTACACTTTACATTAACCCCACTAATTGTACTGATAAAAGAAATTGTATAAAAATAACAAATTTTTTTCTTGTCAAGTTATAATTCAATAATTTTCAAATACAGATATAGATATTATTAAAAGTTTGCTACGCTCTAAACTATTAAAAATTGTTTAAAATTAATAAATATAGAAGATTTTGATTTGAAAAATTAGAAATTAAAAATTAGTCAAGACCCGCTTTTAATAAAGAAAACTAGAAGCATAATACAGCCTGAGAGACATGAGAATTAGTGTTGCATCTCTTATCATTATTTAATAATAAATAATATTAGTAAAAAGAGAAACAAAATATGATTGTTAATTGCTTTTAACAATATTTTAACGTAGTGATATGTTGTCTGCGATTTCTAATGATTTAATAATACATATTTTACCTTTTATTTTATCTGCATATGTTAAAATTGTTTTATTAACACACAACTGCCAAACGTTTATACATAAAAGAGATACATTCACGGATCTATCTCTGCATAAAGAAATGTCTTCATCAGTATATATATAATTCATAGAATACGTTTTAGGATTCATGGGATAAATTTTAGGTGGTGGTAAGTTTCAACAAGAAAATCAATTTTTGTCAAGCGAAACACGTATCCTCCGACGTGTCCTTAAGGTAGTTGTCTCGCAAATAGCGATCAACAAGAAAAATTTGAAACTTTAACTATACATTAATAAATATGGTATCTACACGTTTATACAACTTAAAAGCAATTGACCGTCCCGAACGCGAGATAATCGCTATCAAAAATTGCACTTTTTATACGTGCCGCATACGCAAAACGTACGAAAATCTCGTATTCTGAATTTTAATAATTAGAAAGAATAACAAGAAAGTGATGAAAAACTAATACAAAGTAGAAGGATACTTTAGGAATTCTATTAAAAAAAAAACCGAAATTATTGACCGTTTAGTTTTAGAAATACAATAATAAAAAGACTTCGCGGTATCATTTCATCCTTGTTGTTCACCGAAAGTTAAACAAGAGCAGATGATGCTCGCGAACGTTGCGGGCATTGACTTGGCAATAGACAGAAATAGTACAGAATGTCCAAAAGTTTTCAATCGGTAACCGTAGGTAGTTGGATGTTTTAACGTTGACTCAGAGTATAAAATTTTGGATTGTACTGTCGCGAGACAACTACTTTAAGAAGCTATGCGTCTCTATTCGAATCGCCTGTGAGATAGACAACCGCTCGTGCGATAGTATTACGTGTGATGTCTGACAATATTAGAGAGTCCACGTTCTTTAAATAAAATTTAAAAAAAACAAAATCAAAATCAAATATGATTCTCTGGTGAGACCTACCACTTTCTGAAGCTTGTTTCATGGGTCCCGAAACATCCTGTAAAAAATTTGATTAAATACATTTCAGAAATATTTTACATCATAATAGTTACATCTTAATATTTCTTATATATATCCAATATTTTCTCCTACGATTACGTAATATTTTCTATAAAAAAGAATTTATTTTAATTTTCTTGCAATCTTGATTGGCTTTATTGAATAATCAAAAATAAAAAGACATTTTTTTTTTATAAATACACACATTGAGGCATACATCATACATCATAGCACATACATCGTATGTGCTTAGAGATTGAAAGCGCATAAAATATAAAAAAGAAAACCTGTATATGCTTCTCTTGCACGTGCAAAAGTTTATCGCAGTTTGAAAAAAGACATAGCAACAGAAATGCATTAACGGAAATATTATTCAAATATAGATTTTTGATCACGTAAACATCATTAGAAAATATCTGTTGACACCGATATCTCGCGACCTGGATCAAAGTTGGATATTTTTAACTTTTGTCTTCCGTTGAAAATATACGATAGTTTCACATTACATCCGCAAATATCTCCTGTTGTGCGTCTTTCAATGCCGTTTTAATGTATGAAAAAAATGCAAAATAAAAAGGAATAAAATAAAATAGCATTTGATGACATAAGACTGTCTGTGATCGTATATGGATGGTCTGCAAATATTAAGTGGAAATTCACCACTTACAGAAAATTATCAGTGACACGTTGCAAATCTATAAATTGCTTTTCTGTTTATTCGACGAAATTAGGTATAACGCAATTGTGAAAAATTGCCGTTTCTATCTAAAGTTACGATTAGAATTAGATAAAAATGAGCAAGATTACACGTGCGCGTAAACACAGTCTATTAAATTTTCATATTAAACATAAAATATTACTAAATAAATATTTTTATTAAATTTAGAATATTAATTAATAAATTTTCATATTAAATT